AAAAATTAAGTTACAAACTCACTTCACACTTTCCACCAAAATTAATTTCAAATGAACTTAAGATTATCAATGTAAATAATGAGAAGGGGCTAATATAACCTATAGGTGAATGTGCTCAGAAAAGTTGGATTTGAAAAACTCTTGGTAAGTATAATACTGTAAATAGAATATATAAAGAAAAAAATGACAAATTTGGTTATGTAAAATTTTTTAACATTTCTGTATAAAAACTGGGTAAAACAAAAAAAAGGGGAATGCATCATATGTTAAAAATAAGAGGATGCTACTGTCTTTAATATATAAACAGCTATTACAAATTAAAGAAAGGAGAAGCTTTATGAGAAAAAAACAATATATACAGATTTTTTAAAAACACAAGTGACAACACAGAAAGAAAAAAACTAAGAAATACCTAAGGAAATGCAAATTACAATGACAAAAGATTTTTTTCCTGCCTGAATTGTCAAAGAATAAAAAGAACAGTAAGATGCACTACTGTTGAGTGTGGTCGTTGACTCAACCTTTCCTGAGGGCTATTTGACAAGTAGCTATCAAAAGCCTTAAAAATAAAAAAGAAAAGAAAAAAAGCCTCTGACCAATCAATCTTACTTCTAAGAATTTATCCTAAGGAAATCATTAGGCAAATTCACAAAGAATGTTCAATGTAGTAATGTTTATTGTAGTAAAAATTGGAAACAAACAAAATACTTCTCAAGAGGAAATTGGCTAAACAAATTAATGTACATCCATACACCGAAATATTAAGCGATTTTTAAAGGTTTTGTAGATGTCTTAATATGAAAAAGATGTTTTTCGGGAAACAAAAGATGTTTTTCGGGTTTGTATATAAAAGAGCAAGTAACAGAAAGCATATTTTTGTAAAGGTACATATTCAGAGAAAAATTCCAAATGTACTTTGCTGAACTGTCCAAAATGTTTTATCACAACACGCTAATAATAAGTTTCCCCTTGGGAAACTTAGCGTCTCACCTCGAGGATCCCTCCCTTCCCTCGCACCTCACTCCTGTTTCTCACCGCGAGGTCAGGCTGGGTGACTGGGTCCCTAGTTGGTCAATGAGCTCTCCTGGGCCTCAGGCGCTGCCACTTACGAGGTGCCCGACAGGAATGAAATTAATGAAAGACCCCTTCTCGGTGCTTCCGCGAATGATTGACCAATTGAATGGAATCGAACCGACCGAAAGCCCCTAGGACTGACCCTTCCCGATGGAACAGGAGGAGAGGAGAACCCCAAGTCCGGGTTCCTGTCTTCCTCGACGCTCAGCAGCCCTGTGACCCCGGGCTAGCTGGGTGGCCTCGCTGAAGCTCGGAGGACTCGCCTCTAAGACGTGGCCATCGCAGCTCCCCGGGCCCGCGCCGCAGGGCACACAGCAGGCGCTTAGCGGGGCAGGGGCACACAGGCGGCGCTCAAACGCGGAGCACGTCGGTGCTCAGGGCGCAGGGCTGCGCGCGGGGCGGGGCGGGGCGGGGAGCCTGGCGGCCTCGGGCTGGGTCCGGAGAGCGGCGGCGGGGGCTGCGGCGGGGGCTCCCGCGCCCTCGCACCCGCCGGCCGGGCTGCGGGCCCCTCCCGCGCGGGGAGCCGACGGCCGGAGGCTGCGGCCCGGATCCCGCGCGGCCCGACCGCTGGCGGGGGCGGCGCCTCCCGGCCCGCGGCCGCGTTCGCACCTGTGCGGTGGCAACGGGACTCGCTCGCGGGGCGGGGGCCCGCGGATCCCTGGCTGGGCCCCGGGGGCGCGGCCGGCGCAGCTCCGGGAACGAGGCTGGAGGACCCGGAGGGCCCCGGTTGCCGTGGGCGGTGCGAGCACACGTGGGCCGTCCGCGCGGCCGCGGAGAAGCAGCGGACGGGCGGCCTGCGTAGACTCCTTCCCCCCGCCCCCCAGCCCGGGAAGGAGCTCAGCCCCACTAACGGAATCCGGGGCGGCCGGGGAGGGCAGCGGAGGGGAGGGGCGGTTCCGACCCGGAGCCGCCGGTTTGGGGATAATTACTTTTAATGTCAGAAAGATTTAGTTTAATATCATCTCTATTAGGCCGCCGGGAGGGTAATTAAACGGGCCGCGCCGCAGCCGGCAAGCAGATGGCGTCTGCTCGCTCCGAGGCCGCAGGCAAACAGCGCAAAAGTCAGCGCCTCTCAGGGCCCCGGCGCCCCCCCACCCCTGACGCCCCCCCCCCCAGCCTCGCCCTGGGGCTCCAGCTCCCCGCACCCGCCCTTGCCGGCCGGGGCGGGGCAGCCCTCGGCGAGCTGGAGGTGGGCGCCGCTGCTGGGAGCCCCTGTGGGCCCGGCGCCCGCACGGGAGGATGCCGAGCTGGGGGGGCGTCGGGGCGCCGTCGGGGGCTCGCCGCGCTCGGCCCGGGAGTCTGGCTGCGTCTGCCCAGGGTCCAGCCTGCGGCCCTGGCCCCGGGCGGGCTCGGGGAGCGGCGGAGGCCCGCGCGTGGGCGCAGGACCCCGGAGGGCCTGGCGGTGGGGCCCTGCGAGCCCAGCCTCCTGCCGGGGCCTCTCGCGGGGGCGGCGGCGGAGGTGCGCGCACCCCCTGGGGCGCCGGACTCCCGCGGACCGACTCCCGGACTCCCGCGGACGGAGCTCAACGTGAGGGTTGTGTGTCCAGGTGTGAAGCCGCCACACGGTGCGTGTAGGATGCAGACTGGGCGCCCTGCAGACACCCCCTCCTGGTCTGCTCCCCTTGGGGACCTGGGTGCGCATCAGGACCAAGCCAGGGCGGCCTGAGGAGGTCTGGGGGCAGGGGCCTCCACGCGGCTGCTCACGCCGCGTCCCCCCACCCAGGCCACAGCGCCCCCGAGCCCCACCCCCGGGGCCCCAGGACGGCTGGAGGCCGGGGACCTGCCGAGCTGCGCGCGGGGACCCCGGAGCCGCAGGGGGAGGCGCCCGCCCTTGGGCCAGGCTGGGTTCCAGGCGTGTCCTGCCCCAAGGACAGGGGGCTCCTCAACACGCGCGGGACAGCGTGGGGTTCTCAAGGCCCCGTGGCTGGACCTTGGCTCCCCCAGGTTCACCCCGAAGTCGCGGGGCACCACAGCGGCCCGGCCGCAAGCGAGAAGAGGCGTGTCTGGGCCGCAGCCCTCCGAAGGCCAGGCAGGTTCCGATCTTTCATTCGTTGGGGGGTTAAAATGATTTCTGGAAAAGCCTGTCCGGTGTTGCCCCGGGAGAGGGCGCCTAGCGGGCGCGGGATCCAGCCCAGCTCTCCCGCCCCCGCGGCCGCCCGTCAACAGGGTCCCTCGCCCCATGACCTCAGGGCGTCGGCAGGTGGGGTCCGGCCTCCCCCCGCAGCGCACGGTGCCCCGCACCCCTCCCCGACGTCACCCCACGCGCGGCCCGCGGGGCTGACCCTTGCCCTCTCCCACGCTCCCGCCCGGCTCCAGCGAGCGCAGTTTTCTAGGAGCGCGGGCCTGGTGACGTGGCCGTCAGAAGGCGGCAGGGCGGCGCGGGCCTGGGCAGCCTTGGGCCTGGGCAGCCTTCTGGGAGCTTTCGCCAGGCCCCTCCGCCGGGTCGAGGCTGGGCTGGCGAGGGCGGGGGCTGCGCCCTGAGGGCCCTGGGCCGGGTCTGCGCGCCCAGTACCTCCGCGCCCCGCGGCGCAGGCCGGGCCCCCGAAAGTTCTCCAAGCATCAGGGAAACGCGGGGGCGGGAGTGACGGAGAGCGACGGGAAACCTCATTTTCCGCACTAATTAAGCAAATTTTCTGTACTCTGAAGGAAAGAGAAGAGTGGAGAATAAGAAATGGGGGCGAGGGCACACTGGGCGAGGAAAGGCCAGAAAAGGGACGGGGGTGACAACTGGAGAAGGCAAGGTGGCCCTGCGCGAGGACCGCAGCGTTAATTCCAGATGTTGCCTTTCAAAAGGGCAACGAAATGCAGAACCTGTTACCTCCTCTGCAGGTCGGACCGTTCCTGGGGCCGTGACGTCAGTGCGGGAGAGGAAGGCGAAAGTTACAACTAGTCCTGGGGGTCCGTGGCGACCTCGTCTCAGGCCCGGAAGGACGGACAGACGGACGCGCATCCTGCGTTCAAGAGGATCTGGGGAGACAGAGAGGCCACGCTTTACTTTCGTTTAAAAACGAAAACTAAACTTTTCGTTAATTCGTAATAACACCGACAGAAAGAATCCCCCGCCCCCCCCCCCCCGCCTACGAGAAATCGAGGTGCTGCGGAGGCGAGGACGGAGCAAGAGGGGCCGAGGGACGGGGTTAGGGGCGGGGAGGGAAGATGCGGGCGCGGGGAGCCAGGGCCGCCGGGAAGCGCCCCTCCGCGCTCCCCCGGCCCCTCTTTAAGAGCAAGAATCCTCGCAAGGCACACACTTACCCTTCCTGGTGCCCTAGCCTATCGGACATTTTTAAGTGAAGGGCCCGTGTTTGAAAGGAGGCAGGAGGAAGCAACCGGGAGGGAGCACGGCCCCCACCGCCCCAGGCGCGCCGGACGTGGGAGCGCACCCAAGCCGCCGGGAGGAGGAAGGAACCGGCCTCTTGGCATTTATGCCATCTGCCCTCCTTCCCCCCCAGCCCCCTCCCCCCCCGTCGCCCTAATTGAATTGTCACCTGCCCCTATCCCGCCCCCGGCCACCAGGGCCCCTGGGGACACTCGGCCTGCCAGCGCCCCGGCCCCGGAGGGCGGCGCAGCCCAGCGCGGCCCAGGAGCGGGGCACGCGCGGCCCGGGACACGCGCGCTGGCCGCCGCAATTGGGCGCAGGCCGCCCGCTGCCGGCGCTCGGAACCGCTCGCTCGCTATTTGCCGCGCTCCTCCCGGCGCCCCCCCGCCCCGCCCCGGCGCTCGGCGCAGCTTTTGGAGTTTCGAATCTTTCGGCCGCTGCAGAACGCGGGGCTCCCCGGGCGCGGGCGCGGCCAATCAGAGCGCCGCCTGCGTCCCCTGGCCAATGGCAGGCGCCACATTGTTGTCCCCGTCTGTCTAATGGAGCCCTGAGGAGCAACAATAGAGCGGGCGCGCGGCTCCCTGAGAGTCGGGCAGCGCCGGCGGCCGGGGCGCGGCTGTGCGCAGCGTGCTGCGCGCTCCGCGAGGGGACGCCGCGCGGCGAGGCCGGGTCGCGGGCGGCAGCCACCCGTCCCCAGCCGGGCCGGCTCGGGTTTCCGACGGAGGGCCGGGCTGCGCGGCGTCCCGAGGGGTCGGAAGTTCGGGCATGGTGGCTGCAGGAGGGTGACGTGGCCGGCAGGGACCCGGGCAGCCGGGGCAGCGGGAGGCGTGCGCAGCGCCGGCGAGGAGGACCCGCGCCAGCAGGTAGCGGGGCGCGGGGGGCGGCCGACGGGCTTCGCGGCGCCGGGGGCCTGGGCGCAGAGGCAGCTGAGCCAGGGACGGGGCGCGGGGCGCGGGGACAGGCCCCGGGGAGGCGGGCGCGGCGGGCGCGGCTCGGGCTGGGCCTGCTGGGCCGCGGCGCAGGTGGGGCTCCGCAGCCAGCGCGGGGGCGACGCGCCGGCCTCGGGGACGTCTCCTGGGCCAGCCCGCGACCAGAACGCCAGATTCGGCAGCAAGTAGGGTCCGCGGAGACCCCAGGTTGGGGAGGGCGTGTCTGCCGAGGCTGCCCCTAAACCCGGAGGGGAAGCCAAAGCCGACCGCCTCCCTCCTAGCAATACCTGCCTCTTCCCAAGGCGCCCTCCTTCCGACTGCCCCCGGGCCCCAGGGCTGAAGTCGTGCCGCGGCCTTTACTCCAACCCCGTCCCCCACCTTTGCCTGCGGGGTTTATGTTTTTTTCTTTCCCAGGCACTTCTCTCCCCCCCACGTGGACCCCGAGACCCAGACATCCGCATCAGCTGTTGTCTCTGGGTTGCCCCGGCCGCAGGCTCAGCCCCGACCCCGCGGCTTCGGCCTCGTTTTCCCTGCCCTCCCCAGGCCTGCTCGACCTCCTCTGCACATGCCTCTTCTGTCCAACTCCCCGGAGGCCCGCACCGTGACGCGTGTAGCCCCCACATTTCCACGGGTCCCTGGGGCCCCACGGCCTGACTTTGCTCCTGAGGTGTTTGTTTTGCTATCGGCCTTCACTGTCTCCTAGAGCTGTTCTTTCTGTTCCTGATTTGTCTGACTCTCCTGCTCCCCCCCCCAAAGTAAAAACTTCAGACCCAGCCCCCGAACTCTGTGCCTTGCGCGCTTTGATAGGTCTCTCCTCCTAGCCTTTCCACAAAACGTCACTTCGCCTCGAAATTTTCCTGTTTTGCCCTTGGTGTCACTCTGTTGGGTCAAAATTTTCCTTCTAATGCGAGTCCCATCAGACAAGCATTTCTCTCCACCCGTCTCACCCCAATTAAGCTAAACTTTGGGGGACAATATTTTCCTTTTCAAACCCTCGTTATATCCACCTGAACCAGTGACTTCTCAAACTTTATATGTCTTTTTATTTATTTTTTTTCTAGCGGAACCGCTGATCCAAACGAAATCTTGGGCTCAGCGCGTAAATCAGACCTAAGAAGAAGCGCTCTGGTGGGAGCCGGGTGGGGGATCCGGAGGTACCTGCTTCCAGCCGCTCGGCGCCCACTGGCCCGCGCCCGCCTCGCTGGCCGAGCCGCGTCGCCCCGGGCGCCGCTCGCCGCAAGCCTCCGCTCCTTCCCAGCGCCGTCCACGCCAGGCCCCGCCATGGAGCTGCGCTCCGAGCTGCCGAGCGTGCCGGGCGCAGGCACGGCGGCGGCGACAGCGCCGGGGCCGCCCGTGGCGTCGGTGGCGTCGGTGGCGGCGGCGGCGGCGGCGGCCGCGTCGCTCCCGGTGAGCGTGGCGGGCGGCCTGCTCCGAGCGCCGCCGCTGCTGCTGCGCGCGGCCGAGAAGTACCCGCGGACGCCCAAGTGCGCGCGCTGCCGCAACCACGGCGTGGTGTCGGCGCTCAAGGGCCACAAGCGCTACTGCCGCTGGAAGGACTGCCTGTGCGCCAAGTGCACGCTCATCGCCGAGCGCCAGCGCGTCATGGCGGCGCAGGTGGCGCTGCGCAGGCAGCAGGCGCAGGAGGAGAACGAGGCGCGCGAGCTGCAGCTGCTCTACGGCACGGCCGAGGGCCTGGCGCTCGCCGCCGCCAACGGCATCATCCCGCCGCGGCCCGCCTACGAGGTCTTCGGCTCCGTGTGCGCCGCCGACGGCGGGGGGCCCGGGGCCGCGGCGCCCGCGGGGACCGGAGGCGGCGCGGCGGGCGCGGGGAGCTCAGGTGAGCGGAGGCCCGGCCTGGCGGGGGCGGGGGGGGGCGGGGCGCGTCCTGGTCCTCGGACCCGAGGCCCCTTTCCGCGCGCCCGACCGCGGAGAGCTCGCCGCGCCCCCAGGCCGCGCGCGGTTCGGGGCGCAAACACACAAACTCTTTCTCCGCTTTCTGAAGAATTAGCCCCGCTCTCCCCTGTCCCCGCGGGCCCCGACGTAACCGCGAGGGCCCCGCCTGCGCACTGCGCTGTCTCCCCGCGCGGAGACCTTCCCCCTGGTTCTGCTCCTTGCCGCCGGCCGCCTCCCGGGCTCCTTCCCAGCCCTCTTGAGAGGCCGGCCCTCTCCCAGTGCCCCCGGCCCGCACCCCTTTCTCTAGGGATCAGGGCACCTCTTCCTTCTCTCAAGTTGCTCCTGCTCCGCAGGCAACCGCCTGCGGTGCCCGTTCCTTCGGTCCAGCTTTCCCCGCTCGTCCCGGGTTTCTCAAGACCAGGAGCTCTCTCGCGTCCCTCCATCCCCCCACTCTTCGAACCCCCTACTCCCTGCCTGGCCCCACCTTCAAGAAACTGCCAAATTTTTCTAGGGAGGGGGAAATTAAGGCTGGGGCCATTGGGGGCCCTCTCAGCCCTCATCTTGGGAGTGAAGAACTTAGGTTTTAATTTCGCAAAGGGTGGCTTAGAAATAAGGGCTCTATTTCTGCCGGCAGAAAGGCTTGGGAGCGCTTAGATACCGAAGGCGCCTTCCCTAACCGGCTCCGCGGCCCAGGGCCCGAGGGCGCCGAGGGCGGGGTTCGCTCTTGGGAATGCCGGTGCAGAGTGGGGTCCTCTGTGCAGTAGGTGGCTGAGGTGGAAGTTGTATTGTCTCCTGCTTGAACTCTGGGCTAGACCACTTGTCCAGGTCAGGGCAGCCACTAGGAAGGGGGAATAAGGCTGGAGGTGTTGGGGGTACAGATGTGCAAGAGGGGACCTGGACATTGAATTTACAGGGCACAGGTGGTTGGGGCTCTGGGTACGGAGAGAGTGTGCCCTGCGGGCTAGCGGAAGTGAGACCGAGTGTAGCCGGTGGGAGAGTTGCTGGAGAAAAAAAAAGGGGGGCCTGGAGCCCAGTGAATGAGGGTCATCGGTTCGGAGAGGGAACTGGGGTCCACGGGGCTGATGTGCTGGTGGCGCCGTCACCTCCCCACCGCAATCGCTCCTCACATCCCCTTGTCTCCCCTCCTAGAAGCCAAGTTACAGAAGTTTGAGCTGTTCCCCAAGACGCTGCTTCCGACCGGCCGCCCCGGCAGCCCGCAGCCGCCAGCGGGGAAGCCCCTGTCGCCCGACGGCGCGGACTCGGGCCCTGGGACGTCCTCCCCGGAGGTGCGGCCGGGCTCGGGCTCGGAGAACGGAGACGGCGAGTCCTTCTCGGGGTCGCCCCTGGCCCGGGCCTCCAAGGAGGCAGCGGGGAGCTGCCCGGGCAGCGCAGGCCCGGGAGGCGGTGGCGAGGAGGACAGCCCGGGCTCCGCCAGCCCTCTGGGCTCCGAGTCCGGCTCCGAGGCGGACAAGGAGGAGGCCGAGGCGGCCCCCGCCCCCGGGCTGCCCGCGGGCCCGGGTCCCCGGCAGCGGACGCCGCTGGACATCTTGACGCGCGTCTTCCCGAGCCACCGGCGGGGCGTCCTGGAGCTGGTGCTGCAGGGCTGCGGCGGCGACGTGGTGCAGGCCATCGAGCAGGTGCTGAACCACCACCGCGGGGGCGTGGCGGCCGGCCTCGGCCCCGCCGCGCCCCCGGACAAGGCCGCGGTGGCAGCGGACGACGCGTGGCCGGGCCGCGTGGACGCCGCCGCCGGGGGCCCCGGGCTGCCCGCGCCCCTGCAGGCCGCGCCCGCAGCCCCGCCGCACCACAGACCTCTGCTGGCCGGGGCCGTGGCGCCGGGGGCGCTGGGCTCGCTGAGCAGCCGCTCGGCCTTCTCGCCGCTGCAGCCCAACGCCAGCCACTTCGGCGCCGACGCGGGCGCCTACCCGCTGGGCGCGCCGCTCGGCCTCAGCCCCCTGCGCCTGGCCTACTCGGCGGCGGCGGCGCACAGCCGCGGCCTGGCCTTCATGGCGCCCTACTCCACCGCCGGCCTGGTGCCCACGCTCGGCTTCCGGCCGCCCGTGGACTACGCCTTCAGCGACCTCATGCGCGACCGCTCGGCCGCCGCGGCGGTGCACAAGGAGCCCAGCTACGGCGGCGGCCTGTACGGCCCGATGGTCAACGGCGCCCCCGAGAAGCAGTAGGCGGGGACCCCCCACCCCGGGCGCCCTGCGGCCTCTGCCCAAGGGTGGTCGTCGCTCTTGTTTCGGAAGGTGGGTGGAGGGCTGAGCGGAAGGGGGCCGGCGGGCGAAGTCAGAGGGGCGCGGCCCGGGGTCACCCGCCGCCCCGCCAGGCGCCTGCAGCCCGTGGAGGCGGCCAGGGAGGCCGCAGAGGCCGCGCCGCCCGCCCGCGCCCCCCTCCGCTCCCCGCCGCGCAGGATGCTCCGCAGTCTGTCCTCTGTCTCCCTCTCCTTATTAAATTTTTTTTAAAAAATATTCGCTCTAACAAATATAAATTTAGGATGTATAAATCTCTTGGCACTGAGTCGAGTCTTTGGGACACATTATATATCGATATCAAATGTAAAAAAAAAAGGAAACAAGTTCTAAGGTGCACTTTCCTCGTTGCGGTATTTGTCGCTCTCTTTGTTGCTTATGCCAATAAGCATGGGTTTCCTTGGTGCAGTGTGAGTTTTTATATATGTATAAATCTATATATAATCTATACATATATATATACAAGCCAGTGTATAATGTTATAAAATGGAATTCTAAGTTATTAATTGTAATCTGTAGGTGATCTCGGTATTAACGTGAAAAATATTGAAAAAACAAGCAAAAAAAAGGACAAAATGGAAAACAGTAGACTATGCGCGCATTGTACTTATCAGGTTTTATAGATTAAATATATTGTGAACTCGGGACAATCCTGCCCCCGCGCTCTCGCCTGCGGCTGCGCGCCCGGCGGGGAGCAGAGCCGGAGGCCGCAGCCGCCTGGCCCAGGGCCGGCCGCGCGGAGCGGCTGCTTCGCGTTTCCCTTCGCATAGACAGGAGCTAGAAATAAATGTTATTTTCTAAGACAACAGCCCCGAATCCCGTCCCGCTCCTCGGGCGGCCGGCTTGGAGAGGCGTCGCTGTCCTGTCGGGCGCGCTTGGGGTCCGGAGCCGGGGCCCCGCGCCCCCCCCGCCCTCGCCCCCGCCCCCGAGCGACCAGGACCCAGGCTCCGCGGCGCGAGCGGCCCCGACCCCGAGCGCCCGGGCCCCTTCTCCGCGGGCCGCAGATTTGGACGCAGCCCGAGGGCGCGCCGCGCTCCCCTGCCCGGAGCTGGGGCCCAAGGCGGCCCGACGGGGGCTGGCGGCCTGGGGCGGAGGGGCGCCGCGCTCGCCCGAGGCAGGTGATCGGCAGCCGGTCCCCCCCCCCCCGCGGGGCGCCGTCGAGGCTCCCGCCGACCCCCCCCCACGGCCCCCCCCCACGGCCCCCTCTCCGGGAGACGCGACGCTCCCTCCCCTCGTCGGGCCGGCGACTTCCCAAAGTAAACTTCGGGGCGGCTCGGGTTCCGCCAGGCGGTGAAACTTAATAGCAGGACAAGAAAACGGTTTAATAAAGAAGGGCTTTAATAGGGAACTAATTTGATTGAGTTGCCTAATTCCACTTTAATTGGAAAGGGGTTTGGCTGTTTGGTTATAAAGTGCGAGGGTGACGATGAGCCGGAGGTGGGGGAGAAGCAGCGACAGAAGAAAATGGGGGGCAACAGAGAAGGGGCGCGAGAGGGAAAGAAGGTAGAAAGGAAAAGGGGAGAGTGGAGAACGAAGAGGGAAGAGTTTGTAGGAAAAAAAAGCGGAAGGCTAGAGAAGGGCTGGAGCTTCTGGAAGCTGGGCTTTCTCGCCTTTCCCACGCTGCCCGCTGCGCCCCCGCGGCCCCCGCTCGCCCAGCTTCCAGCCGCGCCGTCCTGGCCTCCGCCCGTCCCCGTCCGAGGGGACCCGAGCCCACGCTGGGCTCCTGGTTGCAGGAGGGACCCTCACGGAGTCCCCCGGAGCCCCAGGTCTCCTGCAGGTGCTGACGCGGGCCCCAGGGGTGGACACCCGAGCTTCCTAGAGATCAAGAGGAGTACTTCACCCTCAGCGCAAACCCGGAATATCCAGGGACTCGCTCGTCATTCGGTCCATTTTACAAAGGAGGAAACTGAGGTCCCGAGTGGTCTGTGGACTTGTCCAACCCCCTTTCCTCTGCACTGTCCCGGTGGACTTCCTGCTCCTGCCTGGGCTGGGTGGGGGCCCCGCAGCACCCGCTCCGTGTGCCCCTTCGGCTCAGAGGGGAAGCTGTTGCCCCAGCTTGGCTTGAGCGCACAAGGACTGGGGAGTCCCGCTGCCCCCGCCCTGTGCCCCTCGCGGCCCAGACCCGCCTTGGAACCCCAGGGCTGCCGGCCCCACCCCTGTCGCCTGCTGAAGCCCGGCACCCGCACAGGCCCGACCGCAGCACCCACTGGGCCGTCAGGGAGACTGAGGCTGAGACCCACAGCGACGACCCAGGGTTGGTATTCAGGTTCCAAGGAGTCAGAATCCGAACCCAGGACGCTCAGGCCAGTTGTTAGGCGGCCGTGGTGAGAGCGGGGCTGGCCTGTGGGCGCCTCCGTGGCGGAGCAGCCCTGGGATTCCAGGTGTGCGAGGCCGCGCGGCAGCGCCTCTCCTCGGTGGGTGGGGGTTTCCTCCTCGTCGCCAGGGCCCGCCGTTCTCTCCAACCTTCCGCCAAGTCCGGGGAGCTGCCCCGGCCTGGATACTGGGAGGACCTGGGCCTGGGTGGCGGTGGGGAGCTGGGACTATTGTAGTCATTAAAACTTCCTTTCTGCCTCTTCCTCCTCCTCCTCCCTCCTCCTCCTCCTCCTCCTCCTCCTCCTCCTCCTCCTCCGTAGCAACAGCAGCAGCTACACACTCCTGAGTACCTACTGTGTACCAGGCTCCGTACACAGCACATTCCGCACAGGCTCCTGCTCAGTGGGGGAAAAAGAAACCAGCTGGGATCCGGGCTCTGTTCTGGTGCTTTATTCATTCACAGATTATTACTTCAGTCAGCAAGTGTTTACTAAGTACTTAGTGTGTGCCAAACCCACTTCTAGGGGCCTGGGAGACATGAGGTGGGACACAGGCACCAGCTCTCCACCTGAAAACTTCACAGTGCGTGTGTATGGGCAGGTGGAGGGAAGCAGCTAAACAGGCCAGGAGGCCGCCCAAGGACAGGGGAGTTAGGGCACCTGCCTCAGCTGCTGTGAGGACTGACGGAGAGATGCATACAGTGCTTTTAGCTCAGTGCCTGATTCACTGTAATGCTCAGACACTGGTGTGGATATGGTCCCCTGTCACAGAGGAGTAACCAGGTCAGAGGGCTCTAGTGACTGGAGCAAATTCCCCTCATAAATCCTCTAACATCTCTCAAGTTATAGCAGGTGCCCTGCCCTGAGCAACAGGCCACAGAAGGGTCAGCAGATGGGAGAGAGTGGGTCCTGGAGATGCTTCCCAGGGGAGGGGAGGTGGCAGCTGAGTTCTGAGGACACCGGTGAGGGCAGCATTGTGATCCATGGCAAGAAGTTGGTGGCGGAAGAGCAGGTGGAGAAGGAGGAGGTGGGGACAGGTTGTGATGTTGGACAGAAGTCAGAGATCAGATCCAGGGGAACCGCACGCTCTGCGGTAAGGGGCCTGGGTTTCAGAGTGAGAGGACTGGGGGCCAGGACAGCGTGCTGCTGAGACCTGCATTTGGACAGGATACATTATTAAGGGGATGCCAAACCCATTTAAGGAGGAATCATGAAGATGGTAGCACCAAAAAATGAACAGTGGGAACAGGGACAGGGACAGAAAGGGCTGACTTCAAGAACTCTTGGGAGCCAGACCCTCCACCCTTGATCCAGTGAATCCTGGGGGAAGGAAACCAAGAGGAGGGTTTGTGGATAATCACCAGGTATCTGGGCTTCTTGATCTTTTGTGGGTAACAGAGTTATGGGCCCCTGGAGCAAAGACAAGATTGGAAGGTGAGGAAAGAATGTCAGTGTTCAACATACAGAATTTGAGAAACTTATGGGGCTTCTAGGTGTGGACACCAAAGGGTAGAAAGAGTCAGCATGTGGGTGGCAGCAGGGCCTTGAGAGGTATGAAGTGGCCCAACCCTTTCCTCACACTGGACAAAGGACTTCTTTAGTGGAGGCCACAGGCCTGGGAGTAGGGGTTGTTGAGACCCCAGACATTGAAATTCTACATCTCACCTTTCCAGTTCACTCCAGGAAGCCTGGTCTCTGAAAATCATTCTCTTAACATTTTGCCCCCTGTGAAGGTCATTGTCCTGAAGCAGGACCCTGGGCAGCCTGTCTCTGGCTTTACTGTGTCACCAATGAAGCTTAAACCTCAGGGGTCCCCACCGTGCAGGTCCCTTTCAAACTTCCTCTGCTCTCTACTTCCTAAGGCTTTAGCTTCAGTGGCTTTCTGCCCTTTTCCCACTTGTCCATCCCCACCTCACCATGCCCTCTGAGCTCCTCAGAGTTACCTAACAGACCATGCACTTTCCTGCATCTTTGCCCATGTAAGTCCTGCTTGGAAAGCCTTACCTTTTTCTTCTATTTTGAGGACCATCCTCACTTGTCCCAAGGCCCAGTGACAACAATGAAACTTAAAGTTCAAGATTCTTCACTTGGAGAGTAAGATGGTGGTGGGGTAGGAGGACCCTAGGCTTACCTCTTCCCACAAATACAAGAGGCCACATCAAGGAAGGTAGGAAGTGTAGAGATGCAGCTTGGGAGACACAGGGAGAGTGGCTGCTGCCCCGGGGAGGGAGCCATGGTCACAGAGAAAGGCAAAAGCCAAACTAGCACACACAGGAGTACAGGGGGAAAACAAATCCCCATAGCAGTTGGCTTGGAAAGCAAGAGGACCTGAATTTCATGAGTTCTTGCAACCAGCAGGGTTTAAAGCCTCAAGTTTTAAAGGTCAGTGTGCTTGGCTCTAGGAGAGCCTGAAGGCCATTCTTGCTCTTGAAGAAAAGGCAGAACAAACAGCCTGTAGACATACAGCTTGGAAACAGTGATTTCAAGAGTGCCTGGAATACACAGTGGAGAGGTTAGTTGCTCACCTCAGAGCATGGCCCCAAGAGGCAGCTGTCATGAAAAGACTCCTCTGGGAACAAAGGAACTAGCTGGCACCATTTCCCTTCCCTGCCCCTCAACATAAACAAAGCAGCACCAACACTCGCTACCTAACTTGCTTACACCAAGCCCTGCACCCCATGCTTCAGAAGAACCACCTTTCCCAGTTTTACTTGCCTTGGCCCAGTATGGCAGGGCCCCCTCAAGCAGAAGACTGGCCCAAACGCCTGCCAACACCACATCTCCTGACCTGGAAGTTTTGTGAGGCCTTGGTTCTGGTGGCAGTGGCAACAGGTATTTCACAAGCAGACAAGAGCACACCTAGTGATAATGTGACACACACAGGCCAGGGACCAAACACTGTGTACAACAGTCAAAGAGAACTGCAGCAGACCCCTGGCCTGAAGAAAAAAGTGGCCAGGACACAACAGCAGAGTACATGTGGCACACATTGGAGAACCTGTGGAACAGAGGACATGCTACAGGGCACTACAAGACCTCTTCTTCAGAAGGCTGTTAACCTCAGGAACAGGAGACATAGGGCAGCCCTGGTGGCTCAGTGGGTTTGGCACCACCTTCAGTCCAGGGTGTGATCCCGGAGACTCGGGATTGAGTCTCTCATCAGGCTCCCTGCATGGAGCCTGCTTCTCCCTCTGCCTGTGTCTCTGCATCTCTCTCTCTGTGTGTCTCTATGAATAAATAAATAAAATGTTTTAAAAGAAAAAAGGAACAGGAGACATAGCTGACTTTTCCTAATGCAAGCACAGAGACTTAGACAAAATGAGAAGACAGAGGAATCTGTCTCAAATGAAAGAATAGGACAAGGCCACAGCTGGAGATCTAAGCAAAACAGAATTAAGTAACATATCTGAATGGAGAATTATTTTTTTATTTTTATGTTTTTAAGATTTTAATTTTTTTCAAGATTTTATTTATTTATTCATGAGAGACACAGAGAGAGGCAGAGACACAGGCAAAGGGAGAAGCAGGCTCCAGGCAGGGACCCTGATGTGGGACTCGATCTCGTGACTCCAGGATCATGCCCTGGGCCAAAGGCAAGCACTAAACTGCTGAGCCACCCAGA